GGGGGGGGGCTGGGGGGCAGGGCCGGCGTGCGGGGCGCATCACGCAGACTCTGACTTCACAGGGGAGCTGCTGCAGGAAGCACGGGGCAGCTTCCTCCTGTGGTGAGGGACCCGGGCCCTCTGGTTGCCTAGGAGACCTTCTCTTGCAAATGTCGTCTCCTCCTTGGCCTCAAGGTGGCGCCACGTGGCCGAGACAAGTCTGGCGTGTGACTCCCTTCACACAGAATGCCATGTCCTGCTGTCGTCATGATGGGTTTAGTGAGTCCTGTCCTTCCCGCGGAGCAGTGAGCAGTCGGCCAGGTGCCTCCACGCCTTTCGGACACACAGCCTTTCGGACTCGTGCATTGTCCGAAGTTGTTGCGAAGCGATGTGCCCGGCCCGCTGCCTCCCAGGAGACGTGGACAGCCTCCTGCGCCCCCCCACCCCGTGTCCTTCCTGAAACCCGTGGGGGCGGACGCTGGACGCGGGAGCTGTGCACCGCGGTGGACGTGGTCCCTGCACCGTGGCGTTTTCTGGAAAGGACAGATGTGGCCCTGGCCGGTGTGGCTCAGTGGATAGCGTGTCAGCCCTTGGACTGCAGGTTCGATTCCGGTCGAGGGCAGGTACCTCGGTTGCAGGCTTGATCCCGTGCAGGAGGCAGCCAGTCGATGCGTCTCTCATGTCGGCGTCCCCCTCTGCCTCTCCCCGCTCCTCGCTCTAAGAATCATGGAGAGGTGTCCCCGCGAGGAAAGAGAAGGCAGGTGTTTCCAGGAGCAGCTGACCGGAGCTGCGCCTGTTGTCCTCTCTGCTGAGCCGGTTCGCTCCGGTCCCTCCTCCCCAGGCAGCGCGGGTCTCGAACGTCTTGTCTCCAGAAACAACGGCGCGTTTGCTCCGCGTGGTTTGGCTCCGCGGCTGGGCCACTTGCCTCTGTCCCCTGCCTTCCGGGCCGACAGTCGGGAGAGACCGGGCCTTGGTCCTCCACGGCGGTCCCGGGGCTGGGGCTTCCCGGGTTTCGGGTTCTCGGGGACCTGGTTTCCTGCAGACGCCCTGGTCCCCTGGAGCTCCCGGCCCAGACGCAGCCCCTGCGTCCTGCTGAGACCATCCCTCTCCCTGGCCGCCCGCTTGGGGCTCTCACCCTCTGTCCTTCTCGGGCTGTGTGACTGTCGCCATGGCAGCAGCATGACCAGTGAGACACGTGACCCCATCGATGGACGTTGGAAAGTGGGGAGCATTGACTTGGCTTTTAAAGCCACATGTGCTTTTATTATTGTTTTTTATTTTTTTAAATATATTTGTATTTGTTTCAGAGAGGAAGGGAGAGGGAGAGAGAAACATCCATGATGAGAGAGAATCATGGATCGGCTGCCTCCTGCACGCCCCCCACTGGGGACGGAACCCGCAACCCGGGCCTGTGTCTCGACAGGGAGTTGGAACCGTGACCTCCTGGTTCCTAGGTCGATGCTCACCCCCTGAGCCAGGCCGGCCGGGCGAGCTGGTGCTTTTAAAGGGTCACGGATTTCGATGACCTTGGGCTTCCCGCCCCTGGGAAGGCAGAGGCTGACGCGTTACCCGTGGGAGGGTTAGGCCGATGCACCTCCCACGGGGCCTGAGCGGAGACAGGCCTGGCTGCGACCCAGGCGTGTGCTGCGGGAGCCCGTGTGTCACGGGTGTTCGCGTGGTCCCGTGGACGTGTGTGTGCAGCTCAGGCCCCTGCTGCTCCCGCGGACGTGTCTCCTGTGGGTCTCCATGCTCCGTGGGCGAGAGCAGTCACACGCCGTCCCCTCTGCTGCTGCTTCCCTTCAGGAGACAGAGGCCACTTAGGGAGCCAGTCCCCGTCGACGTCGCTCCTGGTCATTGCAGTTTTAACCTCAGTCGCTAACAGAGGACATGCCTGAGGCCGCCTTCTGGGCTTCGGCCTGGCAGTGAGGGGGTGCCAGGGAAGGAGGTCGATGCCGTCCGAGGGCACCGAGCCGGGGCCAGGGCTCGAGGCCTCATCGCGGGGTTTGTGACGCCTTTCTCCAGCCAGGGCCCTTGAAGACGTGGCCGTGTGTCCAGCGGTCCAGGGGCCACCCTGCCTGTGCTGGCCGGGCCCGCTGCACACGATGGGCTCCGTACGGTGACCCTGTCCTCCGGGACGCATTCCCCGGGCGAGCGCACCGGTCGCTTTCTTCCTGTGGGTCTGTCCGTCCGTCTGTCCCAGGGGACCCATGGCAGCCCCACCCGTCCCCAGCCCAGGCCGCCAAGTGCCTTTGCCACTGAGGGATTCACAAGCACAGGCTGGACCCCTGGGGACCAGAGGTGGTGGGGCGGCGGGAGCCAGAGGACACCCACTGCTCAGAGCTCCCGCACGGAGCCCGCCTCACTCTGCTGCGGTGACAGCAAAACCGACCCCGCCTGCCCCCCAGGGACACCAGCGGGCCGGCCGAGGTCCTGGACCTGCACCTCCCTCCGCCCGCACGTTCAGTCCCAGCACCGCACTGTCCACGGGGGCCAGCGGCCAGGCTGGAGGGGACATGTAGACGGGGCATGGAGGCAGCCACGTTCTAACCTTCCGTCAATCCCCGTGAAAGGTGGGGCGCCCTGCACCCAGTGGGCGGGGGGCCTCCCTGTCCAGCACAGTTGTCTCACGGGACAATGCCATCGCCTTTCCCGGGCGGGCTTCACACTGACCCGGGGAGCACACGCCTGCCCAGCCATGTAGAGGCCTT